TGCTTCGTGAAGGCGGTGGTGGCCCTGAAAGGGTCCGGGAGCTGCTTCACGAAGGTGATGGTGGCCCTGAGGGGGGCCAGGAGCCATTTCATGAAGACAACAGCCTGTGTGGCATGTGGCCTCTGCCTCTCCGCCCAGGGTCTGTCAGCCAGCCCCCTCCACTGGGACAGTGACAGTGACAGGGTCAGCGCCTGCCCCTTGGCCACCATCTTGCCTCCCAGCCCCACCCCAGCGGCCATCGGGGCAGCGTGTGGGTTGTTCTGTGGCTGGGGGGCGGGGGCTCGTGGGGCTCTGCTCAAGAGCCGCCATGGCGCTTGGCGGACCTCCACCGTGTCCTTCCTGCCCTAGGGCACAGTCCCTCACGCACCCCTGAGGGAGAGACGCCACGTCACGCAGATGGGAGAGGTTTTGCACCTGGTAAGAGAATGTTTCAAGGCAAGACCTTTAGCGAGAAACTCTTTAGATCTGAGGAGAGTTTTTTCCTTTTCAGTTCTATTTTTTATTTGTTGAATTCTCTTCCAGAAAATCCCAGTGCTATATACAGCAAATGCATGCATCTGCATTTACGTAATTTTGTGTCTTATTCTTGCCTAAGTTGATATTCAGTCATGATAAATATATGCAATGTTTACCATACCTGGCATTGATATTTTAAAACCTCAAACTGCCACGTAAACGAGGATGGGTCGCACCAGCCAAGGCAGCGGTTTTGACAAGTTCCATGTCGTGCTGTGTCAGTGCCCTTCCCCAAGGGGTCTTCAGCTCCGGCACCGTCCTCCTTGGCCCTTCACACTGCCGCTGAACGATGCGGTCAGTGATCCAAGTTCCGCCGTCTCTTCGGCCACGAATTTTAAAAACACCCAACTAAAGTAGACAGCAAGCTGCAGATTGTGTTAATTTACACAGCTGTAAGGGTGTAATGTCCCACACGACAGCAAATCCAGACACCACCATGGCTCGTGCTCCTGTCGCAGCAGGACTGCAGAGGACTGGGAAGTCCTTCAGCAGACTGCAGATGGTGGTGGTCCTCTCCTCCATCCTGCCCCTCTGCCTTCCAGCCCCTGCTCCTGCCTACCTGGCCATTCCGTCACGACTGCTACAGTGTGGTGAAGCTCGCTCGATGGGCAGAAGATCCACTGAGGATCTGCTGAAAAGTCATGGCTGGTTAAAAGTAATTGCATTTATTATAAATATTCCTGTATTCATAGTGAGTCAAATGCCGACTCAGTAAAACTTCTGGCTGAATTAAGTCAGATTCTGGTCTGCGTTTTGGCTATAGTCCTTAATTTCTGAAGATAATAAAGTTAATTTCATATGTGTGTATTTGTGCTAGTAAATCCACTCCTTCTGCTAATGGTAGCTAAATACCAGGAAATGCATCGTGTTTTGGTACCAATCAAGTTTCAACCAAAAGTGTTGGAATAATTACAGTTCTGCACAGTTTGTCGCCTCTTAAAAAGAGTGTGAATTTCAGCTAGAAAGAAGCAACTTTTTGCAAAGAGGCATTCACCAGATTATCAGCTTCAATGGATTCCAGCCAACGAAGAGGAGAATTGCTCAAGCAAAGCTTCTTTCTCTGTTCAGAAGATAATCTCAGGAGATGTCAGAAAACCTTTCTGTGGACATTTCAGTGTTCTCTTTAACTAGTAGTTTTCTTTTCTTCCAATATTCTCTTTAGTAGACATGTCACTGTTGCCTTTGACCAGCCTCAGCCTTGGTGTAAGCAACTCCTGATGAGCAGGTAGAGTGTAGAACGGGGCAAAGATTTCTGAGACCTAACACCTAAGACCAACTACGTCAGCAGCCTTGAGCCTGTTTCTGCATTTCTCTGTTTGCTTTTCTTGCTGCGCTTTGCTCAAAATGCCACCTCCTGAGGCAAGTATTGTCACAGCGTGACCTGTCTACAACAAAAGCACAGTGGAGACCTGTGCTTAAACAGGATTTCCAGGTAGAAGTCATTAACAGAAACGACATAAATGTAAGTAGAGTGAGCCTGGACATAACCCAGTTCAACTACTTAGTTCTTTCGGGATATTTCAGTGATGTAGGACAGATGAGATACAATTTTTCTTTAGAAAACAAGAAGGGTTCCTCTGTAAACTTCAGTTTCTTGATAATTCTAAGAGAGCGTGCTTTAGAAGAGCGTGAATGTTAAGAGAGGTGAAGAAGATTTCCGTTTTCCACAGGACAGTGTTATTTTTCTATCCTAGTTCTTTTCCTGAAGGGAGCTGTAGATCATGGGAGCTCTTGCAGAGGTGCAGAGAAGCCCAAATGACTTGCTGTTGCAGGCACAGTGACACTGGTTTGGGTTGCTGGGTGAGGAGTCCTTCAGAAATAACGTTGTTCAAATTGTATTAGATAGTGAAAGAAGATCCATTGTCTGTCAGAATTTCACTAGTCTGTCTTGAATGACAGTTATCAGAGTTTGTCCTTGAACTACGTTTATTGTATTTCTTGTACCTGACGCACCATAGGTCTTTCATTATCTTCACAAAATAGCTTCTGAACTTCACTCCAATGAATGCATAGAGCACAGGGTTCACGCAGCAGTGTAAAAATGCTATGGCTTCAGTGGTGTACTTCACATAGGCCATTACCTTCTCATTTTCACAAGATTTGTCTATCTTGCCCATATTTACGGCTGTCACAAGAAGAACGATGTTATAAGGCACCTGGCAAACTAGAAAAACAGCTACAATTAATACGATCACACGGATTGCTTTGTTTCTTTTGGAATTCTGAGCTTGTTGTAAGGATTTGACAATTAACGTGTAGCAAAAAACCATGAATATGAAAGGTATAAAAAATCCAAATCCAACTTGTAGACACAGCAGCAGTGACTTGAGCATCGTGCTTTCAGACATTCCGTCAAATTTCTGATCACAGATCTCCTTGGTTTCATTGGTGGAGAAGATGTAACTTTCACTGTACAGAAAAGAGGAACTAGAGATTAAAATGGATGATACCCACACGACCAAACAAATGAGTTTACTGTATGCGAGCGTTCTCGCCCGGAGTTTAAACGACTTTGTGGCCTGTACGATCGCAATGTACCGATCCACGCTGATAAAGGCCAAAAGCAGCATGCCACAGCTGAAGTTGATTGCATAGATACCTCTGGTCATTTTGCAAATGAAATCACCGAAAATCCATCTGTCGGCAGCATAATTCACTGCCCACAGTGGGAGGGTGAGAACAAACAGGATGTCTGCTATGGCCATGTTGAAGAGGTACACGTCGGTCATGGACTTGGTTCTTTCATACAAAGCGAAGGTCATCACTACAAAGATGTTGCCAACGAGGCCGATGATGCAAATCAACGAGTATGCGACTGGCAGAAATGTTTTCGTGAAGTGCCTGACTTCCAGCTTAGAGCAAGGTTGTGTGATTAGAGAAGGATAGTCTGCATAATACGAATCATCTGTGGTGTGAGACTCTGTCTGTAAAAAAGAAGATCACCAGTTAACACATAGCTGTTAATCTCTAATTTCTGTATAGTAGAAAGATGATAGATAACAAAGTCATAAAAAAATGGAAATCTTTTGAAGTTAGTAACTGCAGGGTGGGTGTCAGGAGGACGGGGCCAAGCTCTTTTCAGTAGTGCCCAGCGACAGGACAAGGGGCAATGGGCACAAACTGAAGCAGAGGAAGTTCCAGCTGAACAGGAGGAAGAACTTCTTCCCTCTGAGGGTGACGGAGCCCTGGAACAGGCTGCCCAGGGAGGCTGTGGAGTCTCCTTCTCTGGAGATGTTCAAGACCCACCTGGCCGCGGTCCTGTGCAGCTTGCTGTGGGTGACCCTGCTTGGGCAGGGGGGTGGACTGGGTGACCCACAGAGGGCCCTTCCAACCCCTACCATTCTGTGATTCTGTGATTTTGTATTATATGGCTTGCTCATTTGCAATGGAAGTGACATTTCCCTTACGATAACTGCAATACTTCTGTCTGCTCCTTCCCACATCTCAGCTTCAAGCCTGTATGAAACTCATCCCAAGACAGCCCACATCACTGCAGTTTCCTCCAACGCTGCATGTTTTACACTATTCCCACTGACCACACACACCAATTACAAACGCAGTTAACGATGTAGAGCAGACAAGGGAATTTCATAAAAACCTTCATTAAAATCTGAACAGGGAGATAAACGTTTTGGATGGCCCAAAGGTTTCCACTTTTAAATACGTTATGCAGAAAGGATTAGTCTGCTGTCATAGAAGACTCTACCGTGTAGAAGTCTGAATTTGAAGTAGGGGTCTAGACTTCCTTTGCCATGAAGGGAGGGGAACAGGCCTTTCCAGCATGTTATACATTTCATACTAACGTACCTTGGCTAATCAGGCCCAAAAATGATCCCTTCTCTCCACTCAGCTAGACAGGCAAGCCAGGATGGCCAGCCTGAGACATGGTTACCTGCACCACGAACACCAAACCCGTAGTTATATGAGGAGAGTGTAAACCCAACAAACAGCGTGCTTTGGCAGTGAACTCTGCTGTCAGAAACATCTCTTCAGCTAATCGCTCCTGAGGTTTAGGCATTTGGACCTCAAAGAGCTGGTACTTCCAGACTGATGGCTTTATTAATGTACTAATATAGTTTATTGATTAAGTACTTACAGAATTCATTTTGGCAGCACTCTTCTCGGAAGGAAAAAGATGTTGAGAAGAAGTTCAAAATACTTTCCCAAGGAATTCTGAAAAGAAAATAAAGTAGATTGGCTTGGGAAACCAGCACAAGAAATGTGAACAAGTAGAAAAACAGAACTGGAAAGAAAACATTTATTGAAGGAAGAATCCTATAACTTCAACTGTATCAACAATACACAGGAGCATCTCCACAAGTCAGACCTCTCTGCAGCACCATGTGTGGTTGCAGGAAGCGGGTGGTTTGTATCACTGTCATTGAGGGAACAATCTAACATATGGAATGTTTATTCATACAGCTAATAAATGATATAGGTGACTCTGACTTCACAGTGACTTTTCACCACAAAAAATTAGAGTAAATTATATTTTGCTTTCAGAAATTCTGTATGACAATGAAAATCAGCGTACTGAGGGAAATACGGAACAAATTAACAGCACTAGCTTAGTATACTCCATAACAGTAATACAGTAATTTAACTATATATATTTTTTTACTCTGGCATTTTATCAGTGTGTCTCAGCACTTTTAACATCACATTACTTTCCCTGTTTTATTACACTAGTAAGCTAAACTAAGAGTGCCAGGATAATTGCTTCTCATTGTGTAAAGGATACTACACAACATGTGAAGAGACTGAGCACTAGTGTTGTTTTCTCTTTGTTCGGTGCGCAGATCTTTATATTATAGACTGCACTCCATGAAAATCATTTATCATTTTTATCACTGTGATACCTATGTATTTTACAAATGGTAATTAATTCATTGGCACAACATCCTGTGGTGAGGAGGTATTACTACAGAATCCCAGAACCCCAGCCTGGCAGGGGCTGGCAGGGCCCTCTGGGGATCCCCCAGCCCAACCCCCTGCCCAAGCAGGGTCACCCAGAGCAGGCTGCACAGCACCGCGTCCAGGCGGGTCTGGAATATCTCCAGAGAAGGAGACTCCACAGCCTCCCTGGGCAGCCTGGGCCAGGGCTCCGTCACCCTCAGAGGGAAGAAGTTCTTCCTCCTGTTCAGCTGGAACTTCCTCTGCTTCAGTTTGTGCCTGTTGCCCCTTGTCCTGTTGCTGGGCACCACTGGAAAGAGTCTGGCCCCGTCCTCCTGACCCCCACCCTGCAGATATTTAGAGGCATTTCGAAGGTCCCCTCTCAGCCTTCTCTTCTCCAGGCTGAACAAGCCCAGCTCCCTCAGCCTCTCCTCCTAGGAGAGATGCTCC